GATACGGCACTAGGATTTCAGATTTAATTCTTTTGCCCTCCCCAGACTCTTCCTCGATGGTCACTTTCTCCCATTCAGAGACAAGTAAGTGTATTCGAAAACCGTCGAGCGGTTCTTTGGACAAATACTTCTGTTTGTGTTGACTCACTCTAGTTTTGTACAAGCTAGCCCAAACCGTCCACACGAAAATGCTCGATTCCTTCAGCTTGTCGCAGATGGATTGCCATTTCATGTTCGTGATGGTTAATCCAGACACCTTCGAAAGCGTAAAACACTTGTTTAGATTAGAGCTCAACGTCGTCAATGCCAAAAGGAATCTTGCCATCACGATAGTATTTATGTCGCGCTGACCATGTTCGGGTTTGCTATTAACGCATGTAGTTTTCACGAAGTTTATGAGATCTTCTATCATATCCGTGCTGATCGTTTGTAAATGTTCCTGGATCTCCACGCGATCCGAGAATGTATCGGAGATCAAAGATATATTCGTGGATAACAGATTCTCCTTTATGGACATCACGCGCTCGGTCTCGTACAAGTATTGTTCAAGGTCCGAAAGCAGCGCGTGTAAACTCGAATCGAAGTTCTCGCATAACTTGAGAATGTTAGGTGAATATCCTTTAGTTTTCATCAATAAAGATCTCCTATTGTCCAGTCCACCATTCTTGGTGAGCTTGTGAGGAATATCGCTCGGTGAATCTTTCCAAACGAACCATCGCAAATCGTGCTCTGGATATTCGAATTTATCGTGAACTATTTTGTTCAACAACTCTGCTATATCAGACTTTAACGCAGCAACAGTTTCCAGCCATTTGTCATTTATAATACCTGAAAATATATTAAATGATTTCTTAATAAAAAATAAAGAAACATGATTTATATAATCTATATTCACGTTACGTACTTTTCGCCCTTTGAGATATAATAGGTTGAAAGAATTCCACCCAGAACGTTATCCTTGGAAGGGAAAGTTCTTCCCAAATTGAATTCCAATTTTCAGGTAGATTGATACTAACAGCCTCCTCGCGAACGTAGTATAAACCTTTTATGGATACTATTAGATTTAAAAGTTTCGTGACCTCGCGATTGCAAAATTCAGCAACCCAATGGAGCCAAGATTTAATACTTTCTTGAAGGTCTGGTAAAAGCAAATTTTTCGGGGTATCTTGAACGAAAGGTTTATGCTGTTTCGTTACCGATGGAAGAAATTCCTGCAGTAATTCTTGGTTGAAGTCTAACTGAGAAACCATAGAATACGCGTCTTGATCCTGAATTTTTGTTATATACTGTAAAACGAGTCCTCCTGATTTATCTGTGGTATCTGTACATTTGTTTAACATTCATTATTTGTTATAATACAGATCATGTATTCGTATTAATATAGTAATAAATAAATGTATATCTACTTACTCATGAAGCAAGAATAAATTAAATTGACCATTTGAATTAATATTTCGATGCATAATTTTATTTTATTTTTAACACTGCTGTCATTCTCATCCATTATAACAGATGTAATAGCTTGATTGCGCATGCATATTAACATTTGTAACAAACTTGAGAACGACGACCCATTTAATAACACAAGAGCTGCCAAAGAATTTGCTACACTCTGAAATAAAAATAACATCATCGATATTGCAATATATAATACTTATTTCTAAATTAATACCAACCTCTGCAGATACATTCAACGATTGCAATATATTATTACATTCGTTAAATATAATATTTTTAAACTGGCTAATAACATCCCACTGTTTGGAAACAATTTGATATTTTTTTAATAGGTCTACACTTCCTACTTCGAATAGCAAACTGTAATTTATATGCTGTGCTACTAAATACAACTGTGTGGCAAATAATAAATTCTTGCTTTCAATGCTGGACCAAATATATTGCGGTATATCCATTAAGATTTTTATTTGAATAATAACAGAGTCTTGAATTCCTTCAATCTTTCTGTAAGATAATAGATGTTAAAGAAAAACAAGTTAATGAATATTGGTCAAAAGAAAAGCTATAGAAATACCTATCATTTTCATTCTTAACAGGTTCTATTTTAAAACCAATAAGATATTTTTTCTGCAGTTCTCGAAATTTTTCTTCAATGTTAATAATCCTTGAAATAACACGTTCTGAAGTTATTTTCATGTTCCCAATTGTGTCGGCTGCCAATATTAGGTCTCGATACCTTTCACTGAAAGCATTTAATCGGTCATCAAAAGTATTCATATAGCTCATTAAAAATCTTGTTACATTAGCAATAATTTACTAACGTCCCACGAGTATAAGAACGTTAAAACAGACGAATGACAATAGACAGAAATAATGCAATAAATCATTTTAAGCGACTGAAATGAACTTTACCCAACTAAAGTTCTAAGCTCGATTTTCTTTCTGTCACTTTCATGTTGAATTTTCTTTTGAATACCCTCGATCTCTTTAATAGTGAAATCCTCAAACAGTTTGTTAATATCTAATTCCAAATAATTCGTTGTCATCTTTCTGACAATCTTGCGTCCACGTATCTCAAGTCTGATGTGTTCCCAGGTTCCCACCACGTAGTACAAAAATCAACACAAACTTATCTCGCAATATTACCAACTGTGCTCGACAGAGAGTTGATGGTTGACGATTTCTGGTTGGTAGAGATCGCTAGGGTACTCTTCCACGATTCTCAAATGATAAAATATTATATTTTTGTGGACTCGTGATCAACTTTTTGTTGCAATAAGTACAATACAAAAGTAATATATTTAGCACATATGAATTAAGAGTTTGTTTAGAGTTTGTTGCAGGTTTAGGTTAGAGAAGAAAGAAGAGAAAAAATAAGTAATATATATTAATAATATACTCTTCATGCTAAATCAAATGGGACATGTAATGTAATTATTTCGTTCTACACGGGTTTACAGGAGATTTTTATTAATTTTTAGTAAAATATTGCCAATGGCGCCATCTATCAGCAATAGTGGGAACTATCTTCACTACAAGCTTGGGCCTTCTACCACTGATGGCGCCACGGGTACTATCCAAATAAAAAACAACCGCAATCAAAACTCAACCAAATCTTCCTCAAAAACTCAATTTTCTGTGAGTCTAACAAGTTCCTAAAACCTTCATAAACCATTTTAGTCAACCTCATTTTGTTTGAAAATTCGCAAAGGTCGAGAGCCCATCGCTACTGGCGAACACGCAATCGCGGTTGCACGTCACCTCGCGTCGCGACGTCGAACCACGGGACGAGCACGCGAGACGCCATATTGAGCGAATGTTGATTGAATGCGGTTTAGGTGTTTACGCGGTTCGGAGTAAAACCCGTGGAAAAACGTTTCGATTGCCGTACAGCCCGTTCAGAGTACTCGCGTACGATCCACTTGGTGTGCCAGTTGCACCACGCGGTGATAGAATGAGCGGCAGCGACGTCGGGGACGGTCAATGCAACAGGACGAGTGAAAGCAACGTAGCAGCGATGGGTGACGTTCTCGCTAAGAAACACGCAGACGATGCACCTCGCGATGGCTGCACCGACGCTGACGGCGATCCCACGCGACAGGACGTGGATCCTGTCGACGATTACGGGGACGACGCTGTCAGGTCGCCTGTCGTCGCGGACGCCGTTCCTGTCGCGGTATGGTTCCCCGCTTCCAACGACCCATGAAACTTACCCTCGCTGATATCGATTACAAACGATTGATATCTTCTCAATGGAGCCACCACTGGATCGATATTGAATTTATATTATTTAACCATTCGATCTGAATTTTTTTATATAAATGACAATTCAACGAATTGTACAGTAATTATTTTCCGTGCACGTCGTGTACAGTCTAAGTTCGATGCGTTAATTCGATTGTAATGCAGAAAAAAATAAAGGGAATTAATATACAGTAGCAATAATGGCATAGGAAGGCATTTAGGTGATCATTTGAAATCAATGCGAGGATAAATACACTTTGCAATTCTTTGTACAAACCGTATTCATCTTCACCTTGGGAAAATTATATCGTGTACATCACTGTACTTTCAGAACATGACTTTGGATGAAAGCACGATTAATGCGTTTATCAAGGGTGCAAGAGATCCAGAGATCATCGAGCACAGTCCATTGAGGACAAGCTTGGAGACTGTTGTAGATAATTCGAGCAGTAGCTTGAGTATAGATAGTCCTTCCAGAGGGAAGGAGGCATGTTCCTGTGATACATTCAAAGCAAAAAGGTAATTAAAGTTGCTTTTAAACAATGATAAAGAAGCATTAGTGGAGGATGGATTCTCAGACTAAAAGGATTTGATATACTCGTGTCTCAATGGGATTGATTATTATTATTGCAGAGAGCTGTTTAGAGAAGAGCTGCAGAAGGCCATGAAGTTTCAGAACCTGTGGACTGAACTGAGACAACACATACGAACCTCTTTCAATGCTGCATTGGAAGCCACCCATACATCAGGGAGCTTACAATTGCAGCAGAGCGTGCTTTCTGTAGATAACATGCACGACATTGTTCTACAGTGAGTTCAATCTCATTCGTTGACGTCATTCTGCGCGATTTGAAGTAAAGCAGACATGATTGTAGTACTTCTTTTCAGACTGTGTAAGAGGGATCCTCGTCAGTTGTTTATGAGGCTAGTGAGTCAGGCACAGGAATTCGTTGTAGAAGTAAAAGTTCGTTTGTTAGCTCTTCTACACGATCGTAGTGTAAATAACTTAGCAGAAATTTTTCTTACAGGTACCATAAATGTATATTCTTTGAACAAATTAATTTTATTCGATTGCTACATATGTTCAGTTCATGTATTCTATGCGTAGGTCTTTTAGATGATTACGACGCGTTGATATCGACGGCTTCGCAAATATCTGAATTAGTAAAACCTTTGAAGGATCATCTGTGCAAGTTTAATTTGTCGTGGGATTGTTTCATTAAAAAGTTATATCAGATTTATGTATACGACGACCCGTTGGTACAAAACAATTTGCCGCCGTTCATTGGACAGGTAAATTGATATTGTAAACGCTGGTATTTTGATCGAGTGACAACTTCGGATACTTAAACACTGGGTGCTTTGGTTCCGTAGTTGAGGAAACTCTTGCCATTGAAAGGCTCTGAATACCAAGGCCTCGTTCATCGATATTTGTCGTTTGACGACGAGATGACGGTAATCGGAGACCTGTGGCCAGAGACTGAGCCATGGATGGATAAGTACAAGTAAGCGATAACAGCGCGAAGTACCCAGAATAGAACCTAGAATAGACAATAAAATAATTAATCATGGAATATTCATTCGAATAAACGTTTCATCTATTTATAAGTGCGGCGTAATTTCAGTGCAGAACAAGCAGTTCGAATGACCAGGCTCAGGCAAATAAGGGAGGCGTGGGAATTGTTTACAGCGACTAGGAAACTTATGGAGCAGCGTATGTTGAACAAGTCGCCCGATAGTGGAAAGTATGTTGACATAAAACCGTGAAGTACAATGAAAAACAAAGTTTCCACAGAAATCCAAGGTTACAGCGATTGCTCTTTATTTTAGCGAATTGCAAGAAGTCGACGGTCAACTTTCGACGCTTGCGTCACAAGCAAAAGTTGGTATATGTGGAATGGATAGTAGGCCTTTAAGTCCAACGCCAGATTTTAGTTTGGATTCGCTCAATATGCCCCCGAGTATTGAGATAGTTCAAATATTGTTAGATGACTGGAATAAAGCTCAACATCAAAAGTTAGCCGACATAGCCGGCGTACTGACGGCTACAGATATTTATGCTAACGGCCAAGACGATCCTGACTTTTTCGATTACGCGCGCGCGACGTGTCATCTAGCTCAATTCGCGATTAGATCTGTCAGGTACGTCCAGTTCAATTAAATTCTTTGATATGTATGTTAATTCGCGCACGTTTTTTTATTGAAGGGCTCATAACGAAGGTGGGTGTTTGGAAAACAACGCGGAGGAAGGGAAAAGCTGCGAATGTCACATGTGTATAGGACCCGCGGTGTCTCCAACCGTAAGAATTTCGATAGCAATCCATCTTCTTCTGTTTAGTATATCATCGATTAACAGGCTTAATTTTCAGGTCAATAAAAGTGATACAGACAATATAGAATTACCATTAGAAAATCCTTTTCCACAGCTCACGAATGGTTTTTTAGGTGAGTGCAGCGATCGAGCTTATTTGTAATACTACAGAGGTTCAATAAAGATAATGCTATCTTATTTTTCGAACTCCGCTTTCAGAAGACACGGCCAATTGTTCCGCGACACAGGTGAAGAAAAAAGTGGAGGAGGTGGAAACGGTGGAAGCGGAAAGCGACGGAAAGGAGGTGAAGAACGTACAAGAGGATACCGATTTGAGAACGTCCGAACCACAACCGTGTTCATGCGTGTATCAGCACGCTAGGGAGATAACGGAGAGGAAGAGGGAGGTCCTGGAGAATCCTCCTTGTCCCTGTCTGTTGAACTCCAAACGGAAGTGGGATACTTGTCCCTGTTTGGCAAAATGTAACTATGGAAAGATTTAAATTTTATTTGCTATTACAATCAAATTCCCGTGGATATGTAAACTTTAATTATGTCATTAGCTGTACCTGATATGGTTGGATTGAATAATCATCCAAAGCCGGTATCACCTTCCGCCGTGAAGACTAACCAAGAATCAAATAAACCAGCAGTGAAAACTGGTTCTACGCAGTCTGCTCAAACACAGACGAGACATTCTACGACGCAGACGCAGAATACCACTCACAATCACGCAACACATCAAGGTAGTCCGCGATAAATCGTTCCGCTTTGAATTTGAAACCATACAAATTTGGACGATAATTACGTATCTTTGAACAGGTACCGCTCATCCTCCGCACACGCACGGACTTCTTCCAGATTTGGTGAAAAACACGGGTACTCCTCATAGACCTCACGCGCACACCAACCATTCGTCGCACGCGTGTCACAAGCAGGCCAATGTCGAGCACATCAAGCGAGTGTCGTGTAATGACCGTCAGTATTCATTCAACAGTGTGCGTTCCCTATCTCAGTGATGTTTATAATTGTACAAGTATCGTATTATGCCCTCAGTAAGTTCCGGAGACGGTGATTGTTCGGATTCTGGAAGCAGTCAAGAGGACTCTTGCTCGACCAGTAGTTCGGCACAAAGAGACTCAAGTAGGCATTGTGACTGTTGTTACTGTGAAGTGTTTGGGCATGGAGTTGTAAGTGGATTTTGTCATTGTTTTTTATTTTATACGATAAATCCTGGCGTTCGTCGCTTAAAAGCACCGTTTCTTCTTTCTTCCAGGCTTCTGTGGCGCCGGTTAGTCGAAACTATAATGAAATGAGGGAAAGGTTACGGCAGTTGTTGACTAAGAAAAAGGCGAAAAAGTGTAAAGCCGCGTGTAGTCCTTCGAAGAGCTCGTCGGAGTCCTTGTCGACGAATCCCAACACGGAAACGAAAGCGATAACGAATTCGGCGCCTAGATCGAACACTCCAGTCTCGACCACCTCCACGGTGCAACCTGATCAACGAGATCAGAGGGACTTGGAGGAATTGCTCGAATTCATCGAAGGGAACCAGAATGGGAAGAAGGATAATAATAAGAAGGCTGAGAAGAAGGCCAGACAGAAGCAACGGAAGGTTGGTAACCGCGATTTATTTCTGAACTACTTAACGATTAAACGTTTATAATTATCACGCGATATTAATTCGAATTTCCCTTGGTTACAGTTGGAGGAGAAGCTTAAAAGAGACAGACAAGAGGCGGAAAGACAGAAACTGATAGAGTTGCAAAAAAAGACGCCGGAAGTTACGATCACGGTCGTAGATCCGCAGAAACCCGTTCCTCAAAGATTGCTACCTCGGTGTAATCTACCCGAAGTATCTATTTTACCTACGTCACCGCCAGTAGCATTGCCGACTGTAAAGCAATTAAGTAATAAAAAGAAAGACAAGCAAGAAGTCTATAGCAATAGTAGTAACACTAGTAGCAGTAGCTGTAGCAGCAGTAGTAGTAGTACAAGTAGTAGTATAAACAGCAAAACGAAGACTGCACCTGTGAATACGAATCTAAAGAACAAAAGTATTAATATCAGTAAGCTCGAGAAAACGGCGGTGTCTAGCCAAACGAATAAGACGGTCGCCAAAAATGACAAAGTTGACGTTGGCAATAAAACGAACAAAACGCAGACCAGCAACAGCGCGAGCGGCAAGCAAAACACGAGCAATACCGCGGAGAAATCGCTGCCTGTTGATTCGACCGATAAGAAATTGACGAAGAAGGAGAGGAAGAAGCTGAAGAAACTGGAGGAGACGAAAGCGAAAGAGGTGAAGAAACCGGTTCAGGCGGAGACCCAGCCGCAAATCGTGACCATTAAGAGGGTCATGGAGTCGAACAGCACCGAGCCTACAGTCACGATCACGCTGAAAGGTCAAACACCAGCCGAGGATAAGGTTTTATTCACGCTGGTGAATGGACAGACTAAGGAGGTCGCTCTCCCGAAGATGGAAAACGAACAGAACCAGAACATCAGCGGGAAGAAGAAGAAGACCAAAGCAAATAACAATAACAATAATAACACAAATAACAACAACTCGTTGCAACAGGGAAACAAGTTGCAACAGACGAACAATTCGAAGCAACAGAGCCAGAATAAAATTTGCGATAACAAGAACGCGAAGCAGCAAACAAATAACGACAAGCCCAAAGGGAAACAAGTGGACGAGAAGAAGCTTCAGCAGCAGAGTATAACCGAGACGAAGACGAAATCCAAGAAGGATAAGAAGAACACGGAGAACAAGGAGAATGTGCTACAGCAAAACACAGTGAACAAAAACAAGAATCAACAACAGAGCGTGTCTAGCAAGAAACAGACTAAAATAAATACTCCTCCTCAGACACCGGTTTCTCAGAAGACGTCGCAGAACACGACGAACGAGAACCAGAAGAAATCGAAAGGGCAGCAACAGGATAAAAACGGTCAGTTGAATTCTGCTAAAAATAATAAAAGTATGAGTGCCAATACCGCGAGCAAGCAAACGAAGAGTGATAATCAGAAGACGCAGAGCAAGACGCCAGGTCAGATGACGATCAAACAAAGACCAGAGGTTCAACCAGCTTCCACGGAGCGAGTCAACTCGCCCCTGAGCAGTCAGTTCAAAGACATCAGCGCGAATTCCAAGATTAACATAGAGAACTTAAAGTTACCACCAGGTATCACGATAACGAAGGTTGACGCGCCAGCGAAACCTTTGCCTATAAGATCAGCACCGCTTCCCAAGCCTGTGAATCCTCCCAAGCAAACCACGATCATCGCTGCACCGATGAGTGGCGTTCAGTCGAGCTACGCGAGTCCTCAGGCGGGTGGAAACGTGATCGTTGTGGATACTGGGAAATTAAAGCAGGATCTCCTCCCTAAACCTGCGGAGAAGGGTAAGTATTGCGCATTAATGGAGAAAATCTTAATCAAATGACGAATCAGCCTAGTATTCTTTCTAATTACTTGTACCCTATTACAGACGTGCCTAAAGAAACGCCACAGACCCAAAGCACCACCAGCAAGAAAAAGAAGAAGAAGAACAAAAATGCACCGAACTCTGGCAACACCGTCAACCAGACAATGGCGCAAAACAGTGATCCCTTCGCCAACGATCACATAGATGAACCAGCTAGAATCCTTCACAATCCCAACACGAACACGGTGACCATAAGGAACCCAGCGTTTGGTCCGATGAAAGTACCACCAACCCAACAGGCAGCTATTATAAAAGTGTCAGAGAACGGTATGGTGACTATCAGGAGTCCAGCGTTGCAGCAGGCTATCAACGCAGGCCTGACATCGCCACCGAAACCCGATTACATAGTGAAAGGCGACCTGTCGTCCAGACCACCGACGGAGAACGCAAACCTGAAGCACGTGAACGGTATCATCCCGTCGAGCCTGGCGGAACTGCGAAGCAGACTGAACCCAGACTGCGCGACTCTCAACGGTCTAGCTAACATTCAGATCAGCAAAGTGACCAACGGTCAACCGATACCCGAGAACGGGATCAACCTGAAAGGAACCAGCGTCACTCTGACGAAGGTAAGGACCGACACGAGCATCAAGGACGTTCAGAGCGCAAAAACGACGGGCAGAGAAGCGATAAACACCTCGATACCGGCCACCACCACTGGGAAGAGCAAGAAAAAGAAAAAACGCGGCGCTGGCGCGCGACAATGCGGAGATGACTGGAACCTCGTTGGTGAGAAACAACAATAATCAGAGTTTAACATGTAAATTTGCTTCTTTCATTTTTTTTGTTTTATCCTTAACACACCCCCGGGCTGCATATCTCGCTCCCGGTGTTAGACGTATTTTTTTTTTATATTTTTTCCTTTGTTTATTGTTTTTTGTTACTTCTCTTTAAAAGAAAAAAAGAAAATTATGTGAAAAATTCAATTTATCCGCAACAACGTCCGTTATACACAAAGTCTATGGACGAAAGTAGGTTTGATCGCACTGACGACAGTTTTTTCTTTCGTTTCGTTCCGTCAGGAAAGGGCAGTGTACCGCGTTAGGACGAAGTCTCGGCTAGGTCAAAACATTTTTCAAATACCGGATACACTCGGGATGTCCTCGAATTGACCGCCACGAATTTCTTGGGGATTGTCCGGAAGAAACTCTGGCCAGTGAGCACTATCTTTTCTTTATTTTCTTTTCGCTGTTCCGCGCGTGCCATCCGGCCCGTTTTAACGGCCAGCCCAGGTGACTTTTTCTGTCGAATGCAATCCGTAGCGATCACACTCTGCGTTAAACATTATAAACATATAATATATATATACATATATATTATACATATATATATAATAGGAATTAATTGCTTGTGTTAAGGCGAAGGTACCTTGACGAGTTAGCTGGTTCGAGCATTTTTAATTTACAACGTTTTCCACTGTTTCGTACACACGAATCTTTCTGTTTAGAAGCATAATATGTTAGATTGGACAGTCCATGTGTAGTTTATTTATTTTGATGAACGTTTCAACCTGAAGTTTAACATCATAAAACTTCTTATAGCAGAAACGAATTTCAGATTCAAATCCTCTGAAGACACTAGTTCCATCAAAGGAGGAACAGGTCACCCAAACGTTGCTTATGAGCAAGGTAGATGCGCAGAAGATCATTCGCCGTCCATTGTTAACTTATATAATCTTCTGCGCATTCAGATCGCGAACCAGCAGCGTCTCAGTGACTCTTTCCTCTGCTAGGGGCGCTAGTTAGCGTCCTGCAACTCCAATGAGCTCTCAAGGAGTGTTAAATAAATAGAGAATCGAAAGCGTTAGACATTAACAATGCTCGAACCGACTAACCCGCCAAGAAAACAATATATATATACACACATATATGTATTACATTTACTCGAGATTAGGTTAGCTTGTAGTCTCTCTCTATCTTTCTCTATCTACACCTAGGGATGTTCTCATTTATCTCTCCCTGTTTTTTTTTCTTTTCCTTCCTCTTTTTTTTTAGTTCTTTCTCCTTGAAAGTCGACGACGGTCGCCGGCACGCGAATCACACACGACGGAAGCATGACGTTTAAAGACCTGTCTCGATTAGATCATTAGATGTTGTACGAGCGACGGCAGTTTATCATTGAATAAAAAGTGTATCGAGTCGACATGTGGAAAGAGAAAGGAATGATAAAGAAAAGATACGTAGGCCACTCGAGAAAAGAAAAGAAAAGAAAATAGTCACGCTTTGCCAAGATTCGATTTACCGTGACAGCGAGAGTTTGCCTACCTACCTGAAAGTCTCATTGTGATATTGACCGAGTACAATATAGGTGAAATTTTACTACGATTCTACGCCGAGTCGATTGCGATATATACACACATAAACATACATACATATATATATGGTGTATATATGTGGTATATATATATATTTTTTTTTCGATCTGCTGATCACACGTATCAATAAAAAAAGAATTTATTTTTTTCCGAACGTTATACTCTCTTTTTCCCTGTCGGTTGCTGACGTTACCCAAAATGCTGCATGCGTATGGATTATACACACAGTCAGACTCGTCGCTCTCTCTCTCTCTCTCTCTCTCTCTCTCTCTCTCTCTCTCTCTCTCACATCTCTCACGTGGATCTATGTCCCGTTTTTTGTTTCGTCTGTTTAGCTTCTTTTCCACCGAGACTCTTCCTCTCGAGATGTAAAACGCTTTCGGTGCTACTTTCTACCCCCAAATCTTCCGTTCTCGTTCTCGCATACCCATACTCAGGCAGTACCTTGGCTAAACGACACTCTAAAGACTAGTACAGAATTGTATGCACAGCAGATTCTTCCCTACCCCACCCACCCCCGAACCTATTACCCAATCTAGGAACCACCGACTTCTAGTATTCAGACCGTGTCTTTTGCAGAGAGCGTATTCACGCCCAAAGATATAGACCTCGAGGACGGAGAGATGGACGACGTCGAGCGCGAGCTGGAAGCCTTCAAGAGGTTTTGTCTGCAGTCCGTGCCGCCGCCACGCAAGGAGAAGGTCAATCTCAACATCAAGGACATCGTTCTGAAGAAGAAATCATCGTCGTCGTCGTCGTCGTCCTCGGCGGCCGCCGCAGTCATCGCCGCGAATTGATTTCTCTCGACGCTAAAGCTTAGATGCATCCACTCCCTCGCCCCCCTCTATTTGTGTTGGCTTGAAGCAGAGTTAACGGGGGAGTCCGTATCGGGAACGAGAAACCAGCGTCATCTGAGTTTAGGGAAACGCACCGAAGTTGAGCAATTTGTAATTCAGATTTACATGATTAATTGTAAATCTGTAATCGCGATTAAAGGCTGACGATGAATCGTATCAGCTCTGAGGAATTAAAGAATCACTACTTCTGACAATTGCGAGCGTTTACTGTGTGAGAGTAGTCAAAGTGCTCAACTTTGAGTCGCATATTGCACGGTCAGACAATAAGATATCATTCGTCGATTGTTAACCGCAATTTGTCTGTTGATTTGAATCGAACGCGAGAGTAGCGTCATCTGCGCGAATCCTGGGACTCCCCTTCGCGAGGGAAGTTACCACGTGCGTTGGCCCCTTAGCCCCCTCAGTTAAGATTTTAGTCGAGCTATCGAACTGTACCGGACGACGAACAAGAGCATTAAACGTTCGCGTCGATACAATTGTTACGGAGCTAGGTTGGCTAACCTATCGCACGACCGAATTATACTAAAAGAAACTTTATTGTACTCGATGTTTTTTCTTCTTTCTTTCTTTCTTTTTTTTTTTTTAAGTTCTTCAACGAAAACTCCGTTGTTTTTGCATCGAGCCAATCACCGACGAACAACATTGTAATACTGCCACGGTCGATGTGCGTGAAACTTCGACAACGGTGTTGCGCTTGTAGTTGTTGAGAACGATCGTTGCGAAAGCGTGAAAGAAAAGTAAAAGTATAGCAATAGACTAGGGCAGTCACCGCGGTACGACGCTGAGAACGTCGTTGACGAGGGAAACAATCGTTTTTTGCTGTCGCTGTCGTCGCGTCGGTGCCCAGTCGACCTCGTATTTTGAACATAGCAAACGATCGTTTAACGATAGCGATCCTTCCATGCGGAGATACACCGGAATGGGACACGTTTTAGGTACGATGTGCCATGATGGGTGACGTTTGTTCTCGAGACACAGCGAGCCGTAGGTATATAATATATTATAAATGTAAAGTGTATGTATGTATATGTATATCTATAAATATAGTAGGAACGAATTTTCCCGTTGAGGCTGGTGTGATTGATCGGCCAATTATTCGATCGCGGGAACGATCGTGATTCGATCGATACCTAATCGAGACTTAGCGCGATGGTATCGTTCTTCGTCGTATCGATAACGCGCGAATACGTTTGTCGCTGTAATACCGACGATCGAGTAATCGCGTCGCCACGATCGTGATCGCGGGCTTAAAAGCACACACTTCTCGATCGACAATTTATGTCCGACACGCGACACCACCGCAGACACTTACACGGAGACACCTTCTTTTTTTTCAATAAAAGCAAATACGCATTTTTACCGAACACCCTGTGTAGATATACCTTCCTCGGTACCATATCGACGGTGCATTTTACGAAAATGGAGAATATCATTTAATTGAATTGCGTGTCCAGTCGCTACCGATTGGTAAGGATCTAGATCAAAGAGTAAAACTTTGTGACTGTAGAAAATATCGATGACGATCGGTAACGAATCTATAAAATATTTCAAGGAAGTAAACATGGTGCGAAACTCGCGCGAACTGGACAAAGAAACTGTACTCGTATCTCGTCTGTGGTCGTCACGATCCGTTCGATTTGTATGCATCGTGGAGCAAATCGATCTGACATGTTCTCGATGACCAGGCGCCAGATCGGCGCTGCGATTTTCATGCGAGCGTCGTTGCAGCCTGGCTCGGGTGGTGCATGAATTATTCCAGAGGGACGAACGACACCTCTGCGACTCGAATCGAATCGAATCGAGTCGAATCGAATCGAATCGAGAAAACACGCTGCACTGGGCTTCCGGTTTTCTGGAAAAATGCAACTCTCGTGGCACCGTTGCGTAACTGTGAATAATAATTATTTTCGCAATTCTTCGGAAAAATCAACACCGAAAATTATTTATCCATCGCAAAAAGTCTGCATTTCGTTGGTAACTTAAGTAACTTAAGTAACTTGATCTAAAATTGCAGGCCTTTGAAAAAGCTATCTTGATTTTATTCCGAAGCGAGCAGTCCGATTGAGCTGAAACGAAGGCCTTGAACTACAGACGTATAAAATTTCGAACGAACGCGATTCCACGCCGGAAGTTGGCCCTTCGTAATGAACAGCGCCGGAAAGAGGATCAACGGTGCGGAGAATATTAGATATAGGCATGCAGCTTAGCGTTATGTTCGCATCGCGTGCAATCGCCATGCGTCTACGCGCATTACGCATTACGAATTTACGTCAGTCGGAAGACGAGTCGTTGACTTGCCATACTTAACACGGTCTTCGCCAAAGTTCCTATGAATTTTAATAAACGCATAGATTTACTGCATGTACTTAATTTTTTCATATTTATACGATTCGGTAAGTTCCAAGAGGTAAGTTTGAATATTTTAAGGCTTACCAGTCGATACTTCAGACTTGCAGATTGCATCAGGCTTGGGCCCTTCGCCGATAGATGACGCCACTCGTTCTCCGGAAAACGGATGCAGAAAATTGCTGTCGATAGATCGTAGATTTCCATACTCATTATTTTTTATTCAAATATGTAAAATATGGTAACAAAATTACTATCGCGAGTTAGTCGGAGAATAAAGAGGCGATCGAAGGACACATCTAATCATGCAAATTTTATTTGAGTCCTTCTATTGGACATCCGATAAGCTACACATTTTTTATTTTTTATTTTTTTTTTTTTTTAAGTATTTCAGTTATTGGACATATTTTCTGTCGATTGTATCTAGACTGTATAGTTCGACTCGACTCCGACGCGAGCGTTAAAAGGCTAATTTACGACGCATTATCTCGTTCTATATAAATAATTACGTATAAATTCTAATAACTTCAAACCGACGATCGTAAAATAGCGTTCGTTTCGAGGCGTGTTGGTATTAACGCGTAACTAACGACGCTCCGTCACGAGATCAAAACTCGGTTGGGAAAAACGGCAACGGGATGCAATGAAAAAGACGCGACGAACAGCACAAGAGAGAAACTCGAACGACGTGCGGCCATACTATTTCAAGTCGAGATCAAACGAGCCAGATTTGTGCGCCCATCGGCATTTCTCGTGCACCGCGAAAGAAAAAGAACCGCTTATTATTCATGGAATGATGAACCGTCGCGCGTTGCATCCAATCCCATCTCTCTCTCTCTCTCTCTCTCTCTCTCTCTCTCTCTCTCTCTCTCTCCCTTCCTCTCACTTTGAGAAGTCTGTCAGTTTCGTCATAACCCGTTTCATTAATATTCAACCTGTTCCTAAATATAAAAGAAAAATCATTTCTCTCATCAGAAAACGAAAAGTGAAACCA